TGGGAGGGCTCAGGAGGTGCTGGAACCTGCAGGGCTGGGCTGGGACAGCTCCCCTCACCCCAGAGGGGTCCCTGTGCCACCCCCATGGCAGCAGCAGGTACAGACCCAGTGAGGGTGGAAGGCCAGGCAGCTGATGGCTCCCACTCTCTGGCCCATGAAGCCATCGTAGTACTTGATGTTGTTGATGAGCTCCCCGTTGCCGTTGTAGATGGCAGTGAACTGGTTCATGGAGCCACTGGAAGGGAAGGGACACAACTGGAGTCACTGGGAGTGCTGGGAGGGGACAAAACTGCTGCTGCAGAATGGCTGAGCTGTGTGCCAGGCCATTCCCCCAGTGGGACAGCACTGACTGGTGGCCAGAACCACAGTGGGCACCTGGGACAGGAAAACACAGCTCCCTCCCTGCGACCACCCTGGATCACCCCGAGCTCCCTCAGGGCTCCCTGAGCTGCAGGGGGGGCAGCAGCACTCACCAAGCAAACAGGTTGGCCTGGGGGTGGATGTCCAGGGCCGTGAGCCCCTTGACAATCTGCAGCACCTTCATGGACTCGGGCATGCGGGGGTCGAAGAACCGCACGTCCCCGTTGACACTGCAACACACACAGATGGGATGGGACAGGGCCACAGAGACCCCAGAGCCACCAGAGCCCAGGAATGCAGCTGTGGGGCTGCCCATGGGCCAAACCCTCCATGGGGCACTGGGACAGGGAACAGACAGGGCTGGGTTCCACCAGGGCCAGGATCTGATCCCACCCACGGCACGTTCTGTGCTGAGGGAACAGCTGGGAGTGACCCCAAACTGCTCATCCCAAACTGCTGATCAATCATTGCTGATCCCAAATTGCTGATCAAGCACTGCTGATCAATCATTGCTGATCCCACACTGATCCCACAGTGCTGATCAATCACTGCTGATCCCAAATTCCTGATCTTTCACTGGTGATCCCAAATTCCTGTTTCCTCACTGCTGATCCCACACTGCTGATCAATCATTGCTGACCCCACACTGATCCCTCACTGCCTCTCACTCCCAGCCCATTGCTGAGTGTGCCCTCCCTGCCCTGGCACACCCAGCACACCCAGCCCCAAATCCCTGCTGCTTTGCACAGCAGAAATTGCCTTGGGAAGCTGCAAGCAGAGGGGATGTGCTGGTGCCACGCTTCACCCTGAAGTGTCTGGACACCAGGATCTCACCAGGTCCTGCCATTTTTCCCTGGGATTCTGCAGCCAGCTGAAGCAGGGGGAAATGGGAGGAACTGGGAGGAACTGGGAGGAGGCTCAGCCCCACAGCCTGAGCTCCTGTGACCTTTTGGAGCCCAGCATTCCCTCCCAGCCCTGCAGCCCCAGGAGCAGCTCCCAGGCTGGAAGGGCTCTGGGGAGAGGGCACTGCCAGCCCTGGGCACAGGGACTGACCCTGGAGCTGCTGCAGGAGCTTATGGAGAGGAAGATTAAAAACTCCAATATGGGAGCTCGACAAATCTGGCAGCTGCATCACATAATCCCCTGTTTGAAAATCTTAATACATTTTTGCTGGCCCATCCCCCTGCCTCAGGAATGTTCTGAAGCCCAGAAAATTATGTTTTGTTTCCATTTTCTAATCAAGAGAAAGAGGCTCTTTGTGTGCAAACGGTGGCTTTGTGACAATAAATTCTGTTCTGCTGCTCCTTAATGGCCAAATCAGTACCTGCTGCTCTGGCTGCAGTATTTACCAGGCAGCAGGGATGGATTTGGGGAATTGCACAGGAATCCTGCCCAGGAATGTGCCTGCCTGATGCACCATTCACCTCGTTCTCTCCCAGATGTCCCCACGGAGATTTGGCAGTGAAGCCCCCTCACCACAAGATATTCACACCCAGCTCCTGCTCCCTCCCTTCCCCATCACACCCCTGGTGATTCCAGCTCCTGCTCACCCCAAACCCCCCCAGCAGAGCCCCCACATCCCTCCTGCCTCCCTCCACCCAGTCTGGAGCAGGAGGTGATCACTGAGGCACGAGTCAGACCCCAGAGCTTCACCCTGCCCGCTGCTGAGCACCAGGGCCAGAACTGAGGGGAAAATCAAAGTGTGACTGGGGCAAAGAACCCCAGGAGAAAACCAAACTGTGAGGGTGGAAAAGCAACCCCAGGAGAAAACCAAAAAACCAAACTGTATGGCAAAGAGCCCCAGGAGAAAACCAAGCTGTGAGTGTGGCAGAAGAAAACCAAGCTGTGAGTGTGGCCAACAGCCCCAGGAGAGCTCCCTGTACCTGACACTCATGATGTTGCCCTCGGGGTGCTTCTGCAGGTAAGCCTTCACCACCCAGGCTGTGTGCTCACGGTACGTCATGACACGGCTGGGGACAAAGGGACACGTGAGAGGGGAGAGGGAAAAAGGGGAAGGAAAAAGGGGGAAACGAAAATGGGGGAAGGAAAAAGGGGGAAGGAAAAGGGAAAAGGGAAAAGGGAAGAGGGAGGAAATTTCAAGGAAAGGAAAGGAAAGGAAAGGAAATTTCAAGGAAAGGAAAGGGAAGGGAAGGGAAGGGAAGGGAAGGGAAGGGAAAGGAAGGGAAGGAAGAGGGAAAGGAAAAAGGGGAAAGGAAATTTCAAGGAAATTTCAAGGAAAGGAAACTTCAAGGAAAGGAAATTTCAAGGAAAGGAAACTTCAAGGAAAGGAAATTTCAAGGAAAAGAAATTTCAGGGAAAGGAAATTTCAAGGAAAGGAAAAGCAGCCCAGGGAGGCGGCGGGCCGGGCAGGAAGGGGTTACCGGTACCATTCGCTCAGGGCCATCCTCCGGTCGAACACTCGGATGGAGCCGTCGCCCAGCCCCGCCACGATCAGCGAGCGGTGCGAGTCACAGGACAGGCTGGTGACACAGCTGTCAGCGCCCGTGGGAATGTCCTGCCACAGACACACACGGACAGACACACAGACACACCCCGGTGTCGGTCACACAGCCAGACACGGGGATGCCGTGGGACAGACAAACAGCAAAGCGGCTCTGGGAACTCTGAGGGAGCTGTAAGGATGGGATCGCTTGTGAAGTACAAACAATCTGCTGGGGGTGGTTTTCTACTTTGTCTCTGTTCTTCTCAAGGATGTGTGTGAGGAAGGTGGATTTGTTACCAACCAATCAAACAGAATGTGTGGTGTCACTCTAAATAAATCACACGGTTCTCTTGAATATAGCCTTTGTACTTTCTACAATCCTGCCTCTCGCCTGCTCCTGTGCCATTCTCGGTGCAGGAGGGACTTGGGCACACTGAGCTTAGGTGACAGCAGCCAATGCTCATTGATGGACACTCTCTTTTATAAAGGATTCAAAGTTCTGGTGCTTGAACCTTGGTTGCTTGGGTTCCTAGCACTGCTCAGCTCACAGGCTGGGGGATGTCTGCCTGCAGGATTCCATGGAGTTTCTGGTTTAAGTTCCAACCTGACCCATCATTGTCTCACCTGGGGACTCGTTCACTTCCATTTTTTACCAAACCAGGCTGGGAGCTGGGGTCTGTCATGGCCAATTGCATCTGTTCAGCTGCAGCTGTGACACACAGCTTCCCTCAGGGCCTGAACCAAGGTCCTGCCCCATCCTCCTCCTCCTCATCCCCACTCTCACACCGAGCAGGGTGGGGCAGCTCTGGTGCCCCAAAGGGACCCTGTGGCCCCTGGCACAGCCCCAGAGCAGGGCAGGCAGTGCCGTGCCTCCTGTCCCTGCTGTGACACGTGTGACAGGGACACCCAGAGCATCTCCTTAGAGACCTGTGCTGGGAAAGGGACCTGGCAAAGGCAGCTGGAGCTGCAGGGACAGCTCTGCTGGGAGCACCCACACTGCCACTTCCCCCCCTTTCCCTTCTGGAGGCAAAGAATTGCTCAGAATAATCCCTGTGCTTGTTGGGAGGGAAAACAAAACCAGCAAAAAACGCTGAGGAGCACTGAGAAAGCAGGAATGACAAGGATGGAACGGGCTGGGTTGGGAGGGACAGGTTGGGAAGGACTTTAAAGCCCCTCAGTACAACAAAAGCAGGAATGAACGATGGAATGGGCTGGCCTGGGAGGAACCTTAGAGCCCCTCTCATCCCAGCCCTGCCAGGGCACAGCTTCCTCAGCCCAGGCTGCTCCAGAAGCTGCAGGAGCTCGTCCCAAACCTCACTCCTGGTTCTACCTTTGTGCAGGTTCACCCCTGAGCCGCTGCTCCATCCGGGAGAGGCACCAGGGCTGGGGCTGCTGCAGCCTCTGCGCACCCCCAGCTCCCCCTCTGAAGCAGCAGAAGTGCAAATGAAGCACTTGTTCCTCCAGAGGTGTGGGTTTGTGTAGTTCAAAGAGGGAGGCGCCTTTATCTGCCTCGATTATCGCTGCTCTTTGTGCTGATTCGCACTTTCCCAGGCACTGAGTCAGGAAGTCCCAATCACTCCAATTTCAACACCCGATCGTTGCAATTAAAAAAAGAAACAACGTGGTTTTTTAGATACTTTCGGCGCAATCATTAATCATCATCATTTAAAAGATTTTCGCCTCCCGGATTTTGCCGCTCCCTAATTTGCATAGAGAAAAATAATATGTGAAAGTAATTAAGATGAACAGAGGCTTAATTATCCTGCATCGCAGGGTCAAAGTGTCGCAATTAATGTTCATCCAAGGGTAATTAATTTCGAGAAGCTTTGAAAACTCCACTTCCCTTTCATTGCAGCATGGTGCCTCCGTTCTCACCGACCACCTGCTTCTCCTGGGGATTTCTGAGAAACTCCCACGTGTGGCGGCTGCCAGGGGCTCTGCAGGGCCTTTCCCTGTTCCGTGCCACGGGGGGTGTGTGTGTGCCTTCACAGAGCGCTGCACTACTGCAGCTCCCTGTCCGTGTGAAACCCAGCTGCATCCCAGAGGCTGGTTCTGCATTCCGGAGCCCTCTCTGCATCCCAGAGCCTGATTCTGCATCCCAGAGCCTGGTTCTGCATCCTGGAGCCTGCCTTCACATCCCAGAGCCCTTCTCTGCATCCCACAGCCCTCTCTGCATCCCAGCGCCCTCTCTGCATCCCAGAGCCTGCCTTCACATCCCAGAGCCTGATTCTGCATCCTAGAGCCTGGTTCTGCATCCCAGAGCCCTTCTGTGCATCCCAGAGCCCTTCTGTGCATCCCAGCGCCTGCTTTCACATCCCAGAACCTGATTCTGCATCCCAGTGCCTGATTCTGCATCCCGGAGCCTGCCTTCACATCCCAGAGCACTTCTGTGCATCCCAGAGCCCTTCTCTGCATCCCAGAGCCCTTCTGTGCATCCCAGAGCCTGATTCTGCATCCCACAGCCCTCTCTGCATCCCAGCACCTGCTTTCACATCCCAGAACCTGATTCTGCATCCCAGAGCCTGCCTCTGCATTCCAGAGCCTGATTCTGCATCCCAGAGCCTGATTCTGCATCCCAGAGCCTCCCTTCAGATCCCAGTGCCCTCCTCTGCATTGCACAGCCTCTGCTGCCCACCCAGAAGAGCAGAGCAGCTTGCAGGCGAGCCCTGACACATCCCTGAGTGTCTGTGGGGTTTTACTGACCTGGGCAGGGAAAGGGGAGGGCAAGGGCTCCGGGAGCTCCTCCCAGAGCACTGCCAGGCTCACGGCTGGGCCCTGGCAGGGAAGGGCTGCACAAGCAGGCAGTGTGTGTTACCTGGACTTTCATCTCCCGGTCCGTGTCCCAGATGCGGATGATCCTCACGTCCCCAGAGGTCATCAGCAGCCCGGTCTCCTGCTCCCAGTCCACCACCATCCCTGCTCCTGGCACACAGCAAGGCAGGGGCACTCAGTGCCAGCACGGGCACAGCGGCAGCGTGCAGGGCACCAGCGTGTGCCGGGCACTGCCAGTGCCACAGGAATGCACAATTACACACACACACACACACAGACACACAGACACAGAATTACACACACAGAATTACACACACACACACCTCACACACACACAGAGACACACACAGAGACACACACAGACACAGAATTACACACACACACACACAGAATTACACACACACACCTCACACACACACACCTCACACAGAATTACACACACACACACACACAGAGAATTACACACACAGAATTACACACACCCCCCACACAGAATTACACACACACAGAATTACACACACACACCTCACACACACACCTCACACAGAATTACACACACACCTCACACACAGAATTACCCACACACACACACAGAATTACACACACACACCCCCCACAGAATTACACACACACAGAATTACACACACACACAGAATTACACACACACACACCCCCCACAGAATTACACACACACAGAATTACACACACACAGAGAATTACACACACAGACACAGAATTACACACACACACCTCACACACACACACCTCACACAGAATTACACACACACACCCCACACAGCTCCAGCTGAGACTCAGTCAGCTGCTCCTGTGTCACAGACAGCTTTTTATGGAAAATCCTTTCCTTAGGATGTTTTTCCTCCTGAGAAGCTGAGAGGCCTCAGGAACAAAATGTTCAGCACCAGGTCCCATCCACACCA